ACCCGGAATGCCATGAGCGAGACAAAACTTGAAATACCGAGACTGACCTGCAGCATATGTTCGCCGTGTCGAGACGGCTAGAGAGTGATAGGCGTAGTATTTGGCTTTTTCTTCGAGGTTACCTATGGCAGTAGATGTTGGAGTTGCTTGATGTAGTCCCTTGTGTTGACTGGGTATTTTGTTGCTTGTGGTGCCAATGAACGGAATCTCTGTACCTGCAATCGGGATAAAGAATCGGCAATGTTATTATTAATTCCACTGATGTGGGTGACCATGACATGAAAATTTGATTTGGCAGCTTTGAAGAAAATATCTCGAACGAGAGCCATGATGAGAGGACAACGCGAGGATCCTTTACGCCAAATGTTGACAATACTTTCGTTGTCACAGTGAAATAGGACCCTCTTTCTATGCCACAAACTCAAGCAAAATTAAAATCCAGTGAATGATTAACCCATTTACAGTATACAGTACTATAAATACGCTTCTAAACAATAGAGATTATTTCCTTGTAAGTCATGCTGTGCTGTGCTAAACAGCTTGAGTCAATATGTGTTGATAGAGAGCGTAATGCAGTCTATGATGGTAAATGGAACAGGAATGAGACTCAAACCACATTATCTCTGGGGTTGATGATGATGGACAAACTATGTTACATGTGACTCAGTACAAATTCATTTACCGGCTGTTTACACTTTTGTTGTTCCTGTAGATCATGCTTAAGCAGAACTGAAGCTAAATTTTTTAAGAGCTGAATATATCATTATGTCATCGAGAACACAAGACTTTTTACCATGATATGAATCAGGGCTGTCTGTACTAAAACATAGACTACAGATAAACCGATTTTTTAGAAATTGTTAACTGCACTACTGTGTCACTCTTCGACATACCAACACCCAACCCACCCGGTACCGATCCATTAGTACCTAACCCACTGGCCGACTTCTACAACTGACTGAGTTCAAATTAGGCCGAGTTCCTTCGCCATCAAACAAAACAAAGTAGGCAGGTTTAGCAATTTTATTAGGCAGGTCCTATTTGGTTGTTGTTTACTTTGATTATTTCTCAGCAAAATTATTTATATCTCATACATTGTATCGGGTTTATTCAGTTTTTCTATTAATATAAATGTTGACTATTTTTACTATTGGAAATAGTGCTCTTTATTTATGTTAAATCCTTTTTTTTTCTTTCATTCATGAAATAAGTGTTCACCCAGGAGATCACATTCCTGATAAATCCATGAAACTAAAGTCTACATGTAAGTTTACACAAAGGCAATTATTCAAAGAAGTAAGTTGATTGTGCCAGTCATTGGTATATTTTATGTTTTTTTGACTGTAAGGAGTAATGTGTTTTGACGGTTTTGTTCCATCTATTTTGTAAGTAGAGGTGCTACCTTTACCATACTATTTTTTCGAAAGATCTTGAAGTAATACATTGGAAATCTTTCCCTATATCTTGTTGGTAGTGGGTTATAAGAGGAAGTCATGTTGTTAAAACAATGTTGATGTTACATTCATAAAGTTGTTTTATATATTTATTCCATTAATGTAAACTGATGCCAGTATTTACTATTAGTACATACATTGTATACATATGCCAACATGATTGAAATGAAAGTAAAGGCAAACATTTCCCATAGGAACCATTGCCCGTAGAAAGTGAGGAACCGTGGATTGAAGAAGAAGATGCAGCATTAGTTGAGTTCATATCTCTGTACCAGGAAAAGAAAAAAATACCCTGGCAAGCACCCCGAAATAAAGATTTTTGGAACAAATGTGCATTAGCAATTGCACATAGAACAAAATTACCCCAAAAAAAAGGGTAAGTTAACAGTTTATGTGTTTATTTTGATATGTATGTACACTATGGGAGTCTTTGCAGTTATTGTGTCTGTATGTGTGTGTGTGTGTGTGTGTGTGTGTCCGTGTCCGTCTGTTCCACTGATATCTCAAGAATCGTAAGCTGGTTTTTGATGAAACTTAATTAGCTAAGTTTTAGCTGTTCCATGACTGTTCCACTGATATATAGACGCTCTGGGATAATGCACAGACCTGATTAGTTTCGATTGAAATCCTGTGCTTATTAATGACCTAATCTGCATATTAATTCACCAATTTTAAGCATTTTTATTTGTTTCTCATGTACTATTCAACAGATTTAAATGAAACTTAGTACATGGATGTCCTGAGATATTGAACAGATCAGATTTGTTTTTGGTTGAAGTCCAGTGCATGTTAAATACCTAACTTGCATATTAATTAGCCAATTTTAAGTCCTTTCATTTTTTTCTCTCAACGGATTTCAATGAATATTGATACACAGATGCTCCAGGATAATGCACAGACCTGATTTGTTTTTTTGAAATCCATGTATATAAATGACCTAATTTCCATATTAATTAGCAAATTTCACATTTTCACTTGTTTCTCAAGTACCATTCAACAGATTTTAATGAAACGGGTATATACATTGTTCATTTCTTGATGATATCTTCAATTCTCTAATTTTGATAAATATTTTTGTAATTTTTGATAAAGAGTGATATTTAGCTCCGCTGTTGAATTTGTCAAGCGGAGCTTATCATATGAGTGATTGTCCGTCGTCGTCCGTGTCAATGTTTTACTTTTCGACTTCTTCTTGAAAACTACAAGCCTGAATGCTTTGATACTTAGTGTATATGTACCTTGGGTAGACATCTCTCAGATTTGTTCATTTCATGATGATATCTTCAATTCTCTAATTCATTTTTTTTAAAAAGTTATATTTTCGACTTCTTGTTAAAAACCGCAAGTCCAATTGCTTTGATATTACATATATAGGTACTACATGTGGACCTCTCTCAGATTTGTTCATTTTGTAATGATATCTTTAATTCTCTAATTTTGGTGAATATTTTTGTCATTTTTGGTAAAAAGTGATATTTTCGACTTCTTGTTAAAAGCCGCAAGTGCAATTGCTTTTACATTACATATATAGGTATTACATGTGGACCTCTTTCAGATTTGTTAATTTCGTTGTGATATCTTCAATTATTTAAATTTGATGATTATTTTTGTCATTTTCGGTAAAAAGTGATATTTTCGACTTCTTGTTAAAAGCCGCAAGTCCGATTGCTTTTATATTACATATATAGGTACTACATGTGGACTTCTTTCAGATTTGTTCCGTTGCTTTTTATATATATATTGTTCATTTTCTAATGATATCTTCAGTTCTTTAATTGTAATGTGCATTGCTAACAGCGACAGCCGACAGGCTGCTTGTTTTGACTTCTTGTTGAAAACCGCAAATTCACTACGTTCAATTACCCCCCATAGACTCCTGTCAGTCAAAATGACTATTTTGAACTGTAGGCATTAGTCTGTGATGACGGAGAGAGAAATCTAGGTCAGGGGAAGCCCCATGACCTCAAGATTTTTCCCTTGGGTCACAAACCACGTGGCTGAGGCAATGAGGCGGCACCATATTGGCTCCCCATTCACTCTTGTTTTTCTCTGCGCTGAGTGAGGTGTCCGATAAAAATGATGCGATCAGCTCATCAGATTTTTTCCCGTTCGTAGCCATGATTTCGGTTCACTTTGTGTCAGCTTTTTAACTGTAATTTGTTGCTCTCATGCATGTCTTGTTCATTTTTTACCCATGTGTTGTCAGAAATGGATAGCAAGAAGGGTAACACGCCAGAGGCTCTTCACCTTCCTTTATTTTT